AGGAAACTCGCCGAGTCCATATGTAGACTCGACGAGTCGGACCGGGTTGCCCCGGGGTCTGACTCTAGTGGTGATCCGGTGAGTTGAGGGGTGACTCAGTGAGTCGAGTGAGGCTTAGAAAGGGAAGAGTCTGTGGGGACGATGGGACTCGCCGAGTCGTCGTATGCACTCGGCGAGTCTGGTCAAAATGGACAGTTGACTTTTGGGTTGACTTTTAGGGTTTGTCAACAAATGGGCCTTGGGCCTGTAGAGGGGTAGAATGGTCTTTTACCCTTCTAGGGATTTGCATGAGAGAATATCCAAATTGTGAAGGGACATTTATTTAGTGAAATTTATTATTGTGACTAGGTGGAGGCTAGGGCAGTATTCTGATATCGAGATTTTACCGAGATTCCCGAGGTGAGTCTTCTCACTATACTTTACCTAGAGTGGTAATCAGAGCTATGTGACAGTGTATCTTGTATGTTATTTATGTGTTGTGATTCTATGTGATATGTGATATGCATGATTCAGAGTTTACAGAGTTAGGACCAGTGGGTCCACAGAGTTATGGGACCAAGAGGGTCCCATAGAGATATTCGACTAGAGGGTCATCAGAGTTACAGCCTTGAGTGGCTGATATGTGTTTATGTGGTATTTTGGGGAACTCACTAAGCATTTATGCTTACAGAGTTTTGTGTATGTGTTTCAGGTACCCGTGATGATCGCAGGAAGGCGCCGGCATGATCTGTACACACTCATGGAGCTTTTGTTTATATGATTCTGGGATATGTTTTTCTATGATGACAGTGGATACATTATGTTTATTATTATCTTATGAATGAAAGTATGTTTTAAAATTGTGAAAAGTTATTCGAAAATTTGGGTGTTACAACTTCTGACATTTGAAAAAGTTCACTTGGTAATAAACTGTTCTTTTTGTTGAATATATTACATATTTTAAACAAAGTTTAACAATTTAAATTATTAAACAGGTGTTTTTACCAGTTCATCAAAAAAATCATTTTTACATCATCTGCATAAACTTAGAGGAACCAGCGGTTGATGTCATTGACAATATGAATTCAGTTGCAAAGTTTTCTAGAGGTTATCGTGATGCACCTAATGAATTGGTAAGATTAGTAAATTTACATTATAAATATAAGTATTAATAGACTGATAATCTAAATAAAATAATAATTATAGAAAATGACAATTTCTTTTTTGCAGAAAATACTTTTTAGTAGGTACTTGATGAGGGTCAATCACAAATCAGCTTCAACTTTGGAGGGTGTTGAACCAGAAAGGGTGAACATGAATTGGCGCACGAGGGATAATCATGTTGACTGTGGAGTTTTTTGCATGCGTCATATGGAGACATATATGGGAGATAAAACAGTAAATTGGACATGTGGGTTGCCAAAAGAATCAAAACAACAACAAAGTGTGTTAAACGATTTACGCATTAAGTATTTGACAAAGATACTATTGAGTGACGCAAACACATACAAGTCAAAAATCATTGCACAAACAGCTAAGTTCGCAAAAAAGACTAATGAAGAAATAAAGATTTGCTCAACAAGGGATGGGAAAAAAGGGGAAGAAATGATATAGTACTTCAAAGATTGGAAAAAGAAGTGTAAAACTTAAAACTTAGTTTTCTATTCATAATTAGTATAAGTTTAGATGCACTTTAATTTCTTTAAGAACATATACATGCTTGTTATGTTACAATTTGATGTTAGTTTCTATATCAAATATAATGAACTCTACTAAATACTTAAAAGATGTTTATATTTTCATGTGAATGTCTACATGTATGTTATACAATTACATGTTTTATTGAAAATATGCTATTGGTGTGTGGGTGGGTGGGTGGGTGGGGGGGGGGGAGTGATTATATTTCTACTTTGAATAAAGAATTGAAAGTAAATTGTCATTTCATACATTTACTTCATTTATTTTGGTCTAAATGATTAAATGTTAATGTAATAACAATACAATATATGTAGAAAATTTACATTGTTTATATGTTAACATTGTGAAAATTTTATATGTCAGATTCACAATGTGAATTACAGTACATATTATAACATGTATATTTTATATGTGAGGTTCACAATGTGAATTATGGTACATATAGATCATTAGAACAATTGATAGTTGAGATTCACAATGTGAATTAAATTACATTAAGACAATCTTTAACATGAAAATTTTATATATGAGATTAACAGTAATATACATAAATTAAATCATTAGCATGAAATTTTTATTAGAAAAGATTCAAAAAACTAACAATAAAAAAATATCTTTAACCAAAAACAATAAATTCGAAAAAAAATATATTCTATTATTAGAAATAAAGTCTAAAACAGTGAATATCAAAATTAACATCAATATTTCAACATTTCTATCCATTGAATAATCATTACAAAAATAAAATCTTATTTTAGTAGTCTTAAAAAGAAAAAATTAGAAACAATCAGCCTTCTGTAACTTCAGATTCTAAATCAGACTTCTTTAACCTCAAAATGCAACTCCTAGCATTGTGATTTGGTTTATGACATAAATTGCACAACCTAGAACCCTTTTTAGATTTCTCAATCACTTTCTCTCTAGTGCTATTGATTCTTTTACCACTGGCCCACCCCTTGTTTCTGATCCCCTCTGGATTATGAATGTTGATAACATCAGGTACTGCAGCTCCAATAATTTTTCAATGTGAACTGATCTACTCGAAGATGCCCTTGATGAGGTACATAAAGGAATACCACTATCAACCTCCTGAAGTTGCTTTATATATTTAGCCAACTCATCCTCATTATTTGCTATCTTGTTAATGGACAAACGAAGAATAGCATACACATCTTGAATCAAACATTCATTTTTACTGCCTTTATGAGGATATGAGTACTTTTTTCTCAACAATCCATCAGCTATGATATCTTTTCCCCATCTCCTCAAAATGAAATTTGATGGAATTTCATCATACTCTTTCATATTTAATATGAAAAACATATGACGACATAACAATCCTTCCTGGACAAAAAGCATGCAGCTACAACTGATGCTGATGCTATCACCCCTTCTACTAAATACAACCTACAAAATTATCATTAATAAACAAATTAATATGTGAATAAGAAATTCTATATCATACCATTCGATAAAAATTATACAAATTAACATCGATTCACATTATTAATCAACAGGACATTAGAAATCATAATGCTATAATATAAATATGTACTTAAAATCAAATTCACAAAAAATACATATTCCATACTAATCTAATGAAAAGTACAAACTAATTTATAACTCTATAAAAATTCACACTGTGAATTAGCAAAACATCCTACATTCACAGTGTGAATTTTTAAACTACATTTTATATTTAATAAACTGTATTAGGACAAAGAGACATACCTTGTAACGAGCATTAGGACAATGAGAAGGAAGACTATTTCGATAAAAATCATCAGAATCTTCATCCTCATTCACATTTTTATCAATCAACTTTTTTTTCTTCTTATCTCTCAAAACATTAAACTTCACTTTCATCTTCAATAACTACAGATTCTTGAACACAATAAAACACAGATTTGTATAACTCTTTCTGAATGTCCAAGAAAATATTATGTGTATAAATTTTCGATGCATGCTTTTCAATAGCCAAAGGAGTCCTTAGCTTGGGGGTAGTAGTTGTGGACTGATAATCTAATAAAGATTGTTGATGCCTTGGCTTCTCTATTGCACTATCAAACGACATCATGAACTTCACCAAATTTGATTTATGATGCAAAAAATGTGAGAAAGCATAATTCAGACTCTCTGATCTTGAAGTAGTTCGCATCAAACCAGAAAGTTCAAGATCTCTCATAAAAGCCGGAATCCATAAATCCCTTATTTTAAAAACAGACCTTAACCAGTCATTTTCTTTTAGATGAAACTTATCTAACATTGTTGACCACGAACTTTCAAAATCTTGTGGAGAACATTGAAGATTCCATATAATATCAAAAAATGTCTTCTCGAAGTCCGGATGGTTATAAACATCGATAGGAATCTAAAAAAAAGAAACACATAAGAATCATTACATATGTTGAATATTTGATGTAATTCATAGTAACATAACATTTGGTTAACATTATGAATTCACAGTGTGATTTATGATTTAGATTTGTTCCTTTCATCATATGCAAATTTACATTGTGAATTCACAATATGCTTTATGATCTATATGGCTATAAACATATATAGGAATCAAGAAACAAAGAATATACATTTTCCTCAAGTTTTTGAGTGATGTGCCACATGCATAGTCGATGCTTCGATTCAGGAAAAACAAAATTAACAGCTTTCTTCATTGATGAATCCTGATCTGTTACAATCATCATGGGTGGCTTGACAAATGCTTTACGAAACACTTCAAGCAACCACACATATGCATATGCTGTCTCACGAGCTAGTAAACCAACAGCAAAAGTAACACAACGCTTGTGGTAGTCAACTCCAGTAAAAAAAACAAATACCATAGAATACCTGAATTTTTTTTGATAAGTATTATTAAAAAGAACAAATACCATAAAAAGAACAAATAAGGATTAGGAATTACTTGTTTGTTTGATAAGTAGCATCAAAAAGATAGTACATCTCCAAATTCCTTATAGTTGGCTTTCGAAGTATCATCAGCCCAAAAAAGTCCAGTAAGATGATCATCAACATCTTTTTGGACCTCAAATGAAAAATTAGAGAAACACAATTTTCTGTTTGTCCATATATCCACAACCATTTGGGAATCTTTGACACCAAATTTAGAATTTAAATCTCTATGAAAAATTTTAAAGTCAACCGCAGTCCCTCCCCTAGAATCAAAGCCACCCTTCATACTACTCACCAAGTTATAAGCTTTTGAAGCACCAATGTTACAACTACCAACCTTATGTATAAAGGATTTATCAAGAAAATCCATTGTCCTATTAATCCTTAATAAGTGCAATTGATCTTGAGGAACAAGTTCATATTAACGAACATCGGAGATTCTTGAACTTTGAAACAGCAGGGCATCCGTTCTTCTTAGAAGAATTTCTCATTCTCTTAACATCTGAAAATTTCACATTAATATTTTCATTCTTGAATGACTCCGTGAAACCAGATCTACTACATGTCGAATATCTAATACGAATTGTGCCATCATTGTATCTTTTTTGACTTGACATATTCACATCAAAATCAGATTCTTGACCATAAGTCTTGTAAAAGTCAAGACCAATGTCCAACGAATCAAACAACAATCCTTTGAAAGGCTTCTTATGTATCAACTTATCATAAGGAACAAGCTTAAAAGTTTCAGTATTGTAGAGCTCAAAATCAAAACTATAACGGGAATTACTGCTATTTGAATGATCAATATTCATACATGAAGATGATTGATCATGAACTGCAAAACCAAACAAAACATATATTTTTATTACATTATATATAAAATGTGAAATTTATATTAAGAAAAAAAACTTACGTGATTGTTCATTAATAGTTGAATGCAAATCTGAACAAGAATTACTTACTGCTATTGAATGATCAATATTCATATTTGAAGATGATTGATCATGACTGCTGCAAAACCAAAAAAAACATCTATTTTATTACATATATAGAAAATGTGAAATTATATTAAGAAAAAAAACTTACGTGATTGTTCATTAATAGTTGAATGCAAATCTGAACAAGAATTCAGAGAACTCATAATGAATCGTCGGTAACCTGGAGTTTATATACAGATTAGAAATTTAGAATTGATAATTATACAAAAAAGGAAACAAATAAACAAGATAATCACAAAACTTTAAATTATATGCACAAGATAAGATAAGATTCTCAAAATCACTAAAAGTTTGGAAAAAACTTAAATGTCAGAAGATGCACTAGATATAATTGATTATCTAAATGTCGAATATGCATTACAGACGAATGATTACAGAAACGATCGAATGAAAAACAGTAACATGAAACGGATATTCAACATACGACATAAAATTAGCAAATTAACAATACAAACATAACAATCTGAAGATTAAACGGTAAAATCAAGAGAATTTGACAATCAGACGATTGCAATAACAATAAAAATAAGATTGATAAACAATGCATCGAAAAAAAAACGGTAAAATCAGGAAAAAAAAACGATAAACAATGGATCGATCAGTGTTAGAAGATGAAGGACAGTAACAGAAGACGCTAACGGAGACAAACATGAATATTAAATGAGACGCTGAACTTACCAAAATGCCCCTCCGTGTTTTATTTGGTTAATTAAGGATTAATGGCCAAGATTAAAAGAAAATAGATGGTTAAGACGGGTTCCTTGGTTCTTTGATCCATATTGGTTCTCTATTGAATTTTTTTTTTCTCTGTCTCTCTCTCTCTCTCTCTATATATATATATATATATATATTATAATATATATATATATATATATATAATATATATATATAGATATATATATATAAACATAAGTCAATTGAGAAAAAAAAAATGTTGAGAATGGGGAATCATTCTCAGCCACTCATTTATTTTTGCCGCAAAAGCCTCCGTCGTAGCAGAGGAAATTGGAAAGGAATACACATGTTTTCCAACAAAACATGTTTCCTTAAACTATGCTAATCATTATCTTAATATATACAAAAACATAGTTTTTTCGTTTTTTTTAATTTTTAAGAAGCTATTTTTATCGAAAAATGATTTTAAATATACCAAAATTCATGATTTTTTTTATTCTCTACAAATAGACATCCATATTGATATAGTTTTAAAGATAAAATAAAAAATTTATTTATTTTTATATTTTCAGCTATCATTATTCATAAGTGAATAAAAATGCATCAAATTTTTGCTATAGTACATTCGTTATTCACTTATAAATAAAAATATATAATTAATTTTTTTTACAGTTTAACTATCATTTATACTACTTATTCATATATGAATAACAAATTAACTGTAACAAAAATCTGATAAATATTTTATTAATATATGAATATAAAATATGACGACAACTAATATATGTTTTATTCATATATAAATAGCAAGGTTGTCAGGATCGGGATCCTACGTAGGATCGTTTTTGGGTTTGCAAGATCGGGATCGGGATCCTAAGATCCCACAAAAAAACATAATTTTAAATGAAAAATATCTCCAACATCAAGTTTTCCGTTTTAAAGCTATAAAAAGTTCAAAACATTAGTCACAACACACAAGTACCATTTAATCTAGTCTAAGATAACAAAAAGTACTACATACTCCCATATCACCGGCCTCTTTTAAATTCAAAATTAGTCACAACACAAATACCATTATCTAGTCTAACATAACAAATTGTGCATCCAAATTATCTTCCTCTTCTAAATCCAAAATATCTTCTCCTAAATCTCTTCCATCATCCGCACCTGCAGTTAAATGTAAACATGACATTAAACTAAATGTAAAAAAATCATTTCTAATTTTAAGATAACAGAATAAAAGAATAACTCACGCAATTGATCTCTTATAGCCCTTTCAAGAAAATCATCATCTTCATTTACATCATGATTAGAAGACGGTTCTTCAGTAATCTACTCATCATCAGAACTTACATCAATCAAGATTTAATGTCTCGAGTCCATCATTCCCTTTCCTTTATTTCATCTCTTTCATCTCTTCCATTCAGCTTCAAGTTGTACATAACATACACAAGATCATTCATCTTTTGTTGTTGTAGTCGGTTTCTTCTCTTAGAATGTACCTATATACGACATAAAGAAAAACCCAAAATATTAGATAATGATATAATAAAAGTAACATTAAAACATAATGTCGTTACTTGTTACTTATAAGTTACCATCTCAAAGGCACTCCAATTCCTCTCACAACCGGATGAAGAACATGTCAAGCTCAAAATTCTCATTGCAAAATTTTTCAACTCGGGCGTGTCATCTCCATAGGAATCCCACCAATCAACCGGAGATTTTTCTTTTCTTGTTAGCTTAGCTACATTAAGACCAAAGATACCTCTTGCATTCGTGAATTGATAAACTGACAATCAATTGTCTTCGGTAGGTTCTCATCAGCACCACATATTCTTTCTAGGCACATGTACAATCCACTTTTGATCCAACCATTATTCTCAAAATCATCGCTATATTGCATATGTGGGTTCAAGTAATAACCCGCCACATGTTGTGCCCTATTCATCTGATTATACCATCTATCATCAATGATATCATAAATAGGTTCATACCTGAAAATATATGTAAAATATATGAGTTGTGTTGTTTAAAATTAATTCTGAAAAATATAAACAAAAGCCAAAAAAAAATTACCTTGTTTGGTTATCTTTGAAGTTTGCTATTTCCTTCTTTGCATTTACCATGGCTTGGTAAATGAAACCCATAGCTGGTTTAGAATCTGAATCAACCAATCGAAGAACCTTCATTAAGGGTTTCGCGGCCCTAAGGCATGTGATAACTGATGACCAAAATCCTACAGTGTCCATAACTATATCCTCAACATCTTTTCCAGTGTCATTCCTTGCATAGTTAGTAGACAACCATTTTTCAGATGCAAAAAAACGAGATCAGTGCACTTTTCAACTCAAACAAGCGACCAAGTGTAAGATAAGATGTGGCAAATCTAGTTGCTCCAGGCCTAAGGAGCTCTTTCCCTTTTGTAAACTCTTTCAACAAGAAAATTAGTCGTGACCTATAATATATTAAACTTGTTATAACTTATAACTTATAACTTATAACTTATAATTGATAAAAGAACTTATATAAAAAATAAATAGAAGTTAAGAACCAATTGTCACCTATTATAGATGAAACTTGTTATCTTTCTTCCCTTTGTAATTGTCACCTTATGTTCTTCAATCTTTTTCTCAAAATCCTCCAACATTAGATCTATACAATGAGCTGCACATGGTGTCCAAAACAGCTTCTTTCTCTTTTGCATCAACATCTCCCCAGCAGCCTTATAATTAGCAGCATTATCCGTGACCACCTGAACCACATTTTCTTCACCTATTTTTTCAACAAAGTCATCTAACATTGCAAATACTTTCTCCTTCGTCTTGATAATGTCAAATGTGTCGATTGATGCTAAAAATATAGTTCATCTAGGACTATTTACAAGAAAATTACATATCGATCGGTTTTTTCGATCACTCCATCCATCATTCATAAGTGTGTAACCGGTCTTCTTCCACTCCTTTTTGTAATCTTCCATTAATGATTTGGTGTAATCAACTTCCTTTTTCAACATTGTGACCCGTATTTCATGGTAAGAAGGAGGATTAAGGCCTCTCCCAAATTCACCAACCATTTCAATCATTTTTCGAAACTCGGGATTTTTTACACAGTTAAAAGGGATGGCACTTGTATAGAAAAACCTTGCAATTTGTTGGCAAACTCTTTCACGTTCTTCCTTCTTGAAAATAGAATTCATTGTGCTTTGAACCTTTCCTTTTTTTGTCACATTGTTTTCCAAGTTATTTCCTCTTGCTTGCCTCTCATAGACCTCATCATCTTCACTGGCTGAAAATGCACCTCTCTTTTTCTTTGTTACCATATCATTCTCTTCCAATAACCGACAAAATTCGAGCCTAACATTTTCGGGAACTTTATCACAAGGCGCGACATTATTACGTGTGCGAGCTAAGTGGTGTTTGAATCTGAAAATCCCACCAGAGCATACAGAGTTACAAAATTTACACTTGACTTTCCGATCATGCATATCTAAACCATGTAGCCAACTAGGATCAGTTCTGGCCCCACTAGCATTTTTTTCTCATTTTACTAGTTGTTGAAGGTGCAGAGAAAGTTGTTGGAGCTGATCCGAAAATACTCTCCATGATTTCTGAAATAAAAAAAATAAACACAATTGTTATAAAAATTGAATCAAAGCTGGAAAGTTGAAAGTTGAAACAAATAATCTAGTAAATAGCACTTGTTTGATTAATGTGGAGGTTTTCTCATATATACCCCTAAGCCTACAATAATCAATGTACAAGGATAAATATGTCATTACACACCTAACCATCAATAAAAAGACAATCACTTTACATGGCTGGATCATGGATGTATAATTCCATCCTTATATATATATATTTGACGATTGTGTTGTTACTTCTGAAGTCGCAAATATCATGCATAATCATATTATCATGTACAATGTGACAGTTCTTGTAACAGCTTATGTCCCACAGTCAACTAACTTGTAAACAATAAGGTAGAATTCTGAGCAATGTACTGACTACGAGTTCGATTTATATTTAAGCAAAATCATATTATCATGTACAATGTGGTTATTGTGGTCAATTTCTGGTGATCAAAATCGACAGAGGAGAAGAAATCTCATACCCAGAAAATTTATGTATAAGCAAAATCGGAACTCACACAATTGTTGAACAGTCGACAGTTCGACACTAAGTTACTAACCTTCTGCGTGATCTCAGAGGTCGATTTGTTCAGAGTCGGCGTCAATGCTTCATCCGTTCGTCAACAGAAGAAGAAGGGAAAGTGGGAAACGATTCTATCATTCTAGGGTTACAATGTTATTCTCGACTTCTCGTTTCCGTTTGAAACTTTGAATGATATCTGATCAGATCGTGTAATCGAGAAAGGGGAATAAGCCTAAGGGGTAAAGAGTAAATCCAATTTTAAATGGAGAGTAGGATCGGATCGGATCCCGATCCTACGATCCCATATGCGATCTTACGATCCCACTCCCGATTCTACCTCGAATACGACCCTATACGATCCGAATCGTTTTTAAAACCTAGGATCGTAGGATCGTGCGATCCTATGATCAGGATCGCGATTTTGACAACCTTAATAAATAGAATATATGACGAAAGATTATGTAAAAAATATATTTTAAGTAAGAAAACTTTATTACGTGTCATATTCATATATGAACGATACTTAAACTATAAAAAAAAATTAAGCCTATGTTTTATTCATAAGTGAATAACGAATGTAGTATAATAAAAATCTGATAAATTTTTATTCACTTATGAATAACGAGAGCTGAAATTCTAAAAAAAATAAATTTTTTATTTTATCTTAAAAATATATCAATATGGATGTGTATTTATAGAGAATAAAAAATTATGAATTTTGATATATTTAAAATAATTTTTCGATAAAAATGGCTTTCTAAAAATAAAAAAAAACAATTTTTTTTGTGTATATTAAGGTAATGATTAACATAGTTTAAGGAAACATGTTTGGTTAGAAAACACCGCCGGTACGCCTAAGTGTTTTGCGACAAAATAAATATATGGCTGAGAATGATTCCTCATTCTCAACTTTTTTTTTTCTCAATTGAACTTTCCTCTATATATATATAATATATATATATATATATATATATATATATATATATAATATAAAAAGAACTTTCTTATTAATTCTTATATATATTAGACATAAATTATAAAATATACGTTTTGGCCCCCTGCTGTTTTTTTTAAAAACTATAGTTTTAGTTTCGGCCCTCCAAATAATTTGTTCAAGCTCTCTCTCTCTCTCTATATATATATATATATATATATATATATATATATATATATATATATATATATATATAATATATATATATATATTATATATATATATATATATTAATTTTGTGGTTTTATCATTTATGTATTTGTGGGGGAGGTGTTTGGGAAATTAGTTATTTAGTTTTTAATGCTGTAAAATTATATAAAAATCAAAAATTTTAGAAGAAAAAAACTATCGAAGATGTATCAACCTGTTAACATTGATTTAAATAGGCTCTTTTATCTACCCAATGACTATGCAAAATGGCTGTGGATTTTTAGAGAACTCAGGAATTTTCTCCACCTCACGCGAAGGGTATTAATATGTTGGATAATTAAATGGTCATGGGTTCAGAACTGAGTGGATTAAGCATTTGCCGAGCAAATTTAACTTATTGGCGTGGAAGATTCAACATTTGCGGCTTCCTACACGCACAAATTTGATCACACGTAGAATTCCAATTAACTGTCAAAGATGTCCGATCTACTGCACAGAACCCCAAACTGAAGATCATATTTTCTCAAAATGTCATATCTTTTCAGTTTTGAATGGTTTTCGGTGATATATTTTATTGGTGGGGTTTCAATACTACTCATCCTGATTCGGCACAATCACTTTTCGGTTGGGGAGTTCTTTGGGTCTTTTGGGTAGATCATTGAACTTGTTACTTGCTGCGTTATTTACGTTTTTTGGCTTCTATGGAACGCAAGAAACAGTAAACTGTTCGATGACAGAGCTAATGCCTTAAACAAGATAATACTAGACTAGAATCAAAATCATTTTTTTTATCAATAGTGTAAGTAACAAGGATGCACAATTTCTATCCGGATTCGACCAACAAAAACATTCGTTTCATGTTGGAAACTCACCGCCGCGAAGACAACGAAGGAAAGAAAGTGGCATCGACCTCATTAACACCGATTGAAATTGTTGATCTCGTCAACGAAATTGTCGTCATAAACTAGGCAAACATAACTTCGCGGAAAAAAGAAAACCTTACTAGGATGAAAAATTACATATTTTTTTGAGAAAATGAAGCATGAAAAACTCAACTGTTGCAGCGGGAGATAGAGATCAAAGATATACAAGTTTTTTCTCAATCTGCATGAACATTTGACATTTGACAGAAAGTGTTATGCACATTGTGCTTGAGTAGAAACAACAAGTTTACAGAGAGTTTTAATCTTATGTTGTTTTTTGTTATTTTATTTTATTTTAT